TTTCAGTGTCGTCGTGTCCTTGGGTAAATGACTGAATGTAGTTTAAAGCGCTTGTCTCCTGACTTGAAAAAAAGCTTTATATAAGTAAATTCCCTTTACCATTGTGAGATCTCTTTTTCTAATTGTACTTCTTAAATACTGCTCAAATGGTTTTCTCTCCTTATGTCTTGTCTCTTTTGAACTTATGTCTTGCTCCTAAGGGAGTCTTATGAGATGTACTGTAACCCAGAAACAAATTATCACAAAATTATGTGAATATGAAAAGCTCAAAACATGATGGCTAGCATTCAAACAATGAATTCAATCTATGCTTCCCCTAGTCTAAGTCCTTTAGGAACCTTTTGATATACTCACACAGGCTGCCATGTGCCTTTTAATAAGAAGAATTTTTTTTGACTACTTTACCATACAGACCTGTTATTCTTCTCTCTTCTTAAAGAGGAACACTGGAACTCTGACAGAGAGAACATTGTGTTTTTGGTCACCTCTCCAACTAAGGTCCTTCTTCCCTGACTGAAAACGTCTCTAGGAAGAGTCCCTGTCATTCCAAACATCTTCACTTTAATGGTTGAGGCCACTGTGATCATTTGGAAATTCAAAGCAGAATGTTTCTGGATCCTTTCCCAGATTTGTGACTCTATGGACAAATTAGTCTCTGAAAATAATTCTGTTTGTTTGGTCTCTGACAACACTGTCTACTTTAGGACCCCATATAGAGCTTCATGGTAAGGCTTTAGTTAGACTGAGAGACACTGATGGTTTTCAGAAGATTTTTTGCAGTTTACAGGAGAACACATAAAAGTATATATAAGGATCTCTTTCGTCGTAGAGCTTTTTCTTTCAGTAAAAAGGTTGCCTAAGTATGCAAGAGTTTGCCCTGCATCTGTACGGCCGCTGGTTTAAACCCCAGCTCTGTCTTTCTCATTTATTGTGTCCTTGGGCATAACACTTCACCTTCTTTGTCCACATATGGTGTTCAGAGAGCCTGAGTTGTGTCTGTGTGCAGCAGCTTTGCTTCTCTCAGCATGTCCAAAAGCAGCTGTGGCTATAATGTAGCTTAACACCATCAGTGTGTGAATAAATGGGTGGGTGACTGAATGTAGCATAAAACACTTTGGGGTCCTTGGGCATAATAAAGTGCTTTTTAAATGCAGGCTATTTACTAAAACAAATGTGAGAGTGGTGTAATGTTACATTAGATGAATGCATGTGAAATGAAGTGTTTAAACTTTACTGTTTGAACTGACCTTGCTATGCACTTTATTGTTGCTCCTAAACTCCACAGAATCAGGTAATCATTATTCACTTTTGAAATCAGTTAGTTAAGTTAAAACAAAAGCACAAACAACACTCAGACTACATTGTCAATGTCAATAAGTGACAATGCGCTGATGAAGGTTCTCAGTCATCCAGGTCATAGTCATTCCGTAAAAATTCAAAAAATATCCACTGGACTTGGTTTTCAAGATTTGAAGACGTTTCGCCACCTCTCCAGGAAGCTTTCTCAATTCAAATGTCTGGATCCGCAGTGAGTTTGAGTCTTATATAGACAACGCCTTGTATCGCTTGGAAACATGCAATGGTAACCGATGAATGGGTCGTTAGTTCCATCGTTACAGGCTAACGATGGAACTAACGACCCATTCATTTTTTGAATTTTTACGGAATAAGTGACAATGTAAAAAATTGTAATGTTCCCTCTTCTTCCTCAAACTCTGGGCTTACAGAGGCTTTTATTTTCCAAGCAATGAATAAGTAGGAAATTAGAAGAAATCTTTTATTCGAGCAGATTCTTTGGAACATTTCTTCTAACGTTATATCGATTGATATGCACATTATGTTGCTACTTTATGCGTGAGTTTCATGACTATATATAAAAAGAAAAAAAAAATCTGCCTCACCCATCGCGGGTAGTCTTCCCCAGTTTTTTGTGTATATATATATATATATATATATATATATATATATATATATATATATATATATATATATATATATATATATATATATATATATATTTATGTATATATTTATGTATGTGTGTCAATAATTTCTTTTATTGATTTAGCACAATGTAAACATTGATTATACACATAATGCATAATTGTGTACAAGACAGCTGGAGTTCTTTTATTCTTTTTTGGTGACATTTTTTGTCTCATCTAAAAGGCTTTTTCAATGTGCTGCTTGGTTAAAAACCAAAGCATTAAACTGCAATAAACTGAGAACAGGAGAGTTAACTTGTTAAGTCCCTTATTTTAGCACTTGTAGGACTGAAAGAGTGTGAAATTTTAGTTATATTGGAGGCATTTTTTTTACTTTGATAAAGACGTTCTTGTTTGAGAATAAGCCGACAAGATCTTGGTTTCCTTTTTTTCCTTTCTGGAATTATGTGATTAAGCAGTCATACTACAAATTATGGTCTTAAAAAGCTACTCTTTCTTAATTTAATCAAAGTGTGAGTGCTTACAGTCAGTCCATTAATTACTCTTGAATTAGTAAGAACAGACTTTGTTTAAATTCAGACTGAGGGGAAGTCTTACATAACAAATAGTTTAAATGTTTGATTGATTTTTTTTTTCTTATAACCCCTCAAAATGAGTTGCATTAACACAAAATTGCTGGTTTTAATATTTCATTGAATTAAATTTTACTTTTTAATTTTCTGTGCAATTTGCTAAATTTTTTTTCAAAGCACAAACATTAGAACAGCAGAACAAAGACAGAAAATGGAAAAAAGTAGAAACTCTTAAAGGCTGTTAAACAAGAGTCACTTGACTGCATACTCACTGACTGTAAAAAATGAATTTTTTTTAAAACAGTTTTTATGTGCATCATCAATAACTTATCTCCATTTGAACCAGAGTGGAATTCTGTAACATGTATAGTATAAGAGAATGGTAAAACACACAAATGTACAACACAAAATGTTGTTCTTGTCCTAACGTGGTTTCTTTAGGTAAAAAATGTCCAAAATAAACAGCAGGAACAAACACTGATGGATATATTTAGCAGTTTATATTACATTCCTGTCTGAAGCACTGACTGCAAATCTTTAAAATTTCACCATTAAATATGTGACTGATTCCTTGGAAATCAGGGTAATTAGAGAAAAAATAGAGAATGAAAAACTAAAATTCTATCTGCCAAAGATCAATTTGTTCATTGTCTAAAACAATATACTTATTAAGATTGTGTCTTTTGTCATTTTTTGAAAATAAGTATTCAGCACCCCAAAACAATGAAATACTTGATTACCCATTTTTTTCTCAAATAACCAACAATATATTCTTTTTCATTGTGTTTATTTGCAGTGCTCTGCAGAAATGTCATAGTTCTTTAAACTTGTTCACATTTTCTATTATTTAAATTTGAAATGTTTTCAATTCCCTTAATCATTGAAAACTCTCCACCAAGTAATTTATTCTCCTTTGATTAATCTCTTGACTGAAAGTTTTCCATGTTTTGTTTTTTTGTTTTATTTTGTATGATTTAAGAACATTAATCACTATGCATCATGAAGACAAAAAACATAGCTAACAGGGGGTCGGGGCTTTTTCTGGGAAATCTGAAATAGTATTACTGTAGGTTATAAACTGATATATTGAGCATGGAGGATTCTTTAATCTATCCTCTGAAAGTGAAAACAGCATGACACAACTCTAAACCCACTGGGACATGGCTGTCCACCTAAACTGAGCAGGTTGGGCCGGTAAAGAAAGCATTAATCAAAAAAGTAGCCAAGAGGCCTAAGGCAATCCTGGAGGTGCAGGAAAGCTCCACACTTCTGGGCTGGGAATCTGTTTGCTGTAAAGTTATTACTCATGCACTCTACAAATCTGCCCTTTATAGAAAAGCCTCAAGAAGAAAGACAGTGGTGAAAGAGAGCTGAGAGGATTCTTGTTTGCAGTTTATGACAAGCAGTGTAGCAGATAAAGCAAACATGAAGGTGCTTTGGAATGAGGAGACTACAGCTGGACTTCTAGCTTTATGTTTTAAAAACAGCATTGCATTTTGCCTTTAGTAGATCATATCATGGATTTTTGGACTGACTCACTTGGGACAAAGAAACTACCTGGTGTTGATGGGATTACAGATTTGTTCATTGCATGGTAAGCTTGCAGCAAAAAACCTGTTAGAGGCTGCAAAAACAGCTGAACTTATTATTGCATATTTGAAGTTAAGTTCTTAGCTACTTTTTGTTAAACTATCACATAAAATTTTGATCAAATGTATAGTTTTGTGCGAAGAAGTTCAAAAGGTGGAAGTACTTTTTCAAGGTGCTTTTCATGTCAAGGAATGCAATTCCTCTTCCAAAAAATTGTGCTCTCTTTGGTCATCTCCCATTAAGTTCACTTTGGCTAAAGCAAAAACGGATAGTGCGCTCTGACACTGAGGTTCCTTGAGCTTGAGGTTCATCTCTAGTCTCTTTTCTGGGCTCTTTTGTTTCCTTTTATATTATCTGTCTCTTTAATTTGTAATTATTTCCCTCTAGTGGCAAAACTTGCAGAGATAGGCTACAGACAATGGATCATACATTTTTGAATAAGTGCAATTTAAGTCGAATGAACATGAAGCTGCTTGCAGATGGTCTTATAGCCTTTACCTTTAACATACTTGTCTTTAATTTTCTGTCTTATCTTCTGAGAAAACACTTTCCTTTGCTTCCTCTAGTCCATGTTGAGTGTGGTACACACCATGTTACCAATCAGCACTGTGACTTCCTGTATAAGGGCCCTATATAAGAGCCTAATGACAAGATTGTAGCCACCTGTGATGCTAATTGGTAATTTACTTTGTCCTGTTAAGTTTTTCTAGGGATACCATCATTATTGTCCAAGCCTGCTTCATTAGTTTGCTTCGTGTGGGATTAATAAACGAGGGCTACCAACAATTTTGTCCACATCTATGGAAATATATATTTGTTGCTTCTTAACCTTTAAATTTGAAGATATTGATAACTCATATGAGAAATTTTCATTGTTTTCGTGCTTTTTCAGGTTGGCTGGTGGGAAAATGGACACCTGCGCCTACGTTACCATCCCTGGTCTCGTTACGGCTCCTTTCTGAAGCCTCTGGATGATGCTCAACACCTCAGAGTGGTCACCCTGGAGGAGAGGCCCTTCGTTATTGTGGAGCCTGCTGACCCTGGAACAAGCTCATGCATTCGGGACTCTGTTCCCTGTCGCTTGCCTATTAATTCCAGGTAATAAGTACAGATGAGTTTGAGGAATGACCCTTGAAGCATAGTTGCAAAGAAAGATTCAGCATCTAACATTTGACATTTGACATGTGACGGAGGTATTACACAATAGGAATCATCAGTTTCTTGCATTTTTAGAGTAGACTATTATGGAATATTTTGGATCAATTCCCTGCCCTTACATGTTCTCTTACAACCATTTCTGCTTAGTAATTCAAGTCATGAAAACCTCATCATACAATTTCTGGGATCCACAAAAAAAAAAAAAAAAAAGGTGAAGGCTCTTATGCAGTTGAACCTCATGGCCATTATCAGCATCACCCTCATAACCTACTACAGGGCAAAATATGTTTGATAAAATAATTTTCTATAGAGATGCATTGATATGCATGTAGAAATTGTTTTTATTTGATTTGGATTGCAAGATTCTTTCTTTTATATCTAAATTAAGAACATAGCATCGGATCAAAGCAAGCATTTATGGAAAAAATTGCTTAAACTATTAATTAAAACCCAACAGAGGCTTGAAACCACTAAGTAAGCTGAGGTTAAATACCTGTTCCAATCAATGCATAAACATCCATTGGATAAACAAAGTAAGAAAGAGGCAGATGTCGGGATAAGACAGAAAATCCTGACTTAGATGATTAAAAATAAATCCTGATGGTCGCTTTAGTGGTACACTTGGAGGAAACTCAGACATGATCAAACACTGGAGGCAAAACCACTCAGTGTTTAAGGCAGCAATAGGTACCACTTGGGTTGACACTCAGGCAAGGAATGATCAACAACCACCTCCTTATATTCCTCAGCAGGTGATTCATTCAACTAGGGATAGGTGTGCTGCTGTAATTAACCCAATACTGCCTTCTAGGTAACGGCAGCTTCAAGAAAACAACACACAGGGACCGTATCAACCTGTAGTTAACAAGAAAATGCATTTATAATATTCATGTTAACCAAAAATGTAAACATAGTAATATGATTGCCTGCCTTAAATTTCTCAGCTAATCCTTTACTTGCTCATGATTTAAGGTCTTTGGATATTTAACAGCCAAACTACTGATTAGCACATAACTAAGAATGCAGTCAAAAACAAAATTTGTTTGTTTTAAACACCCTGTAGATAATTGTGGCTGTGAAATTGCAGGTATTCATTTCGTTTGCAAATGTATAACAACTCTTACATTAATAAAATATATTTTGACTAAAATGATTCTTTAATGGTGAACTCCGTTTGCATTTTATTCATTTTCTGCAAAGGTCAGACCTATTTCAAAGGTTCTTACAACAAAATTACTATCTTCTGAAGGGTGTTTTGTCCCATTTTCCCCCAACCTTACTGCGGCTTCTAATTGAAACAATCCCCCCCAGAGTGCAGGCTGTGTTGCTTGGTAACAGAGTCAAGAGGTTACAATAGCTAAGTGCCTGAGAGGCCATCAAATTCACTCTTGCTATGGAGAGCTGACGGAGGCCACTGCAGCCACTTGACTGATAGTCATCAAAAAGTACTTGATTTTCTCTATGTGTAGCTTGAAGCAGTTTTCTCACTGCCTACATTTTGAAAACTAGCCTCTTTGGAGGAATGTAACTTGATTTTAGTGAGACTTATATGAATAGAAATGCTTTTTGTTTAAATCATGGTTTAACTTTTGTTTTCTTAAAAATTGTCAAAACATCCCCTCTCTAAAATCATCTGCAAACTGTCAGCACTGATCCACTCACTGTCGCCAAAAAACGTCTCCCTTCCCTTTCTTATGTTACACCATCTCCCTCGACATTGGATATCCTCTTTTTACAGATTTTACTGCCTTATTGTTATCAAAGTATTAAGTGTTTTCTAACATATTTCCTATGTGTTTTTTATTTTTAATAGTTTGGTCCTGGATGGTGCTGCACCCATGAAGCATTGCTGCAAAGGGTTCTGCATTGATGTTCTGAAGCGCTTGGCCAAAATTGTGGGCTTCACCTACGATCTTTACCTGGTGACAAATGGCAGACATGGGAAAAACATTGATGGGGAGTGGAATGGCATGGTTGGAGAGGTGAGGGCTTTTATATTAATAAAATGTGATCTCCAAATTACCAATTTTGAGATGGTTCTGATGGTGCTGATGGTTCTCTAGGTGTAGGATTAGTTTGTTTTTTTTGGTGGGGGCTGCTGGGCTGGGCCTGAGCCTCCTGTCCCTGTGGGGTCCACACTAGGGGCATTGTGCCAATGGGCAATGGGCAACGGGGCTCTCATCAGGATCTATTTTGGGTGTGACCGCCCATGGCCTTAGTGCTGCAATCTCGGCACCATGGTCTCAGTTTGGCCCCTCAGGGGTCGGCCTCCAGGTGCCCTCATCTGCCCTTCTCTGGTGGTTGGGGCTGTCCTTATGTCTGTCCTCCTTGTGTCCCACTGATCTGGGGTGCGAGTCTGGGGCAGTCCACACCTGCTATTGAGCATATTATCCTTTTGCAGAAGCTGCATAAATCCTTTATAATAGAGCATGGTTATCCACACATACCATGGGAAATTAGTTCCTGGTGTCCACGGATGCACAATAATACCAAATACTAAGCTGCATCTCCAGATATATAGCAACCTGAGTAATGGTGTCTTTGCCTGTCACACAAATGGAAATCTAAGAGATTCTCACTTCTCTGGAAGTTTTTTTTTATGTTCGCTTTGGTTGTCTGTTTTCTCCTCTTTACAGTTGTTATGTTGTGTTCCCTCTTGCCTCATATAGGTGTGGAAGTAGACTTCTAGGAGTTACTTTATATCTTCTTTGTTGTCAGTTTTTGCTGTTTTGTTTTATTCTATCTTCTTATGCACTCTTTCCTCTCCTCTTAGTTCGTATTTCTCATATCTTTCTCAAACTCTCTATCCTTCTCCATGTTCTGTGTAAATGGTTTTACTTCCTAAAGGGCTCATTATACTTGGCACAAGGATATTCCGGGTGGAAACTGAGCTGTCCATCACAGCATCTGTATACTGTTTCCCCCCCGACAATGCTACATGAAGAACTAGAAAACAGAGCCATTTACAACTTTGTCGAAGTCTCTTCATGCCGTTAGCCACTGTCTGTTGATAGTGGTGATATCTATGAGCTAAATCATGGGATGTGTCTTATGTTTCCGCACCATGTTTTCCACTCAGATCCAGCCGCATAGTTACAACTTTTCCAAATTTTTCCACATGGAGGGGTGTGAAATCCCAAAATGACATAATTTGGCCATGCAGACCTTGAGGTTGTGTCCAACATAAACCAAGCTTAAATCATAACTACCAAGCAGTACTTTATGGCAACAACCATGATGGTCTACTTGTGAAAGCAAATCTGTTTAGCCGCGGTACATCAGTTTTCAGAGCTATATTGACATCAGTTCTCAGGGCTATATATTTTTTTCTTTTTAGAATGGCTGGCAACTGATATAAGAAGGCCAGACTACATTATGATTAGTTGTTGTAAAGATGTGATAGTTTACTTATTTAAAAAAAATAGACTATTTTGGAGCAAGAGAAGCATTTCTGTCCTGGATGTCCTCTGGACCCGGTCTATCTCTCTGTCAGTGTTTGCGTCTCTCTCCCCATGTCTCCAGCTGTCCCCAGTCTAGCATCTCTCTGTAACTCATTAAGTTGCTTAATTACAGTGTCACACAAACACATGTGAGTAGGGGCAGTTAAGCGTGTTAGGAAATTCATCACATCCTATCCTTGGCTACTTCCTGCTGCCTGAGCAACCCTTCTTAAAGAATACACTGAAAGCTGTCCATTTACATTAGATTTTTTATTTTCGTCCATACCTCAGTTTGCTTGCATGGATAGTAAAAGCTGCCTTTTGAACAGACAGTTCTGATATTTCTCATTATGTCCCTGAGCACTGCACTTATCCTTCCTGTGTAAGTGCCCTCCAATAAGGGAGTAATTTCCAACATTCTTAACGTTTTCTCACCCTACACGCTGAGTCATCCTGGCAGAATCGTTCTTGTTCCCAGTATGACGCCTCTACTGCAATGAAGCACATCCTGAACAAAAGTGTCACAGGTGTTTCTTTCAGGCGTGGCTGTGTTCAGATATCTGAAATGATCAATTTGGAATAGACAGGATGAAAAATAATGTTTAATTGATCCTACAGGCAGGGATCCAACTAAAGAAACATTATCGAAAGCAGGAGATTCTTTCTCTTAGATTTGGAAAGAGAGGACAATGAATTTATTCATGTATGGATGGACGTTTTAATACACTGGTCCATAGGGGGCAACAGAATCCAAAGCCATAGCACAACAACAAATGGCACAAAATATGTTAAAATTAGATGGAAGTAGTCCTGAAGTGGAAGCCAGATGAGCCTGGTACAATTATAGAACATAGGAGACCAAAAATAAGGATTATAGGAAGAAATTTTTGTTTATGACTCTAAATCTGTGGTAATAGGTTAGATACATTCTAAAATGGCAGTTTGTTAGCATCTTGATCCCAAAGAAAACATCCAATTAATATTTGACAGTGTCAATCTCAGCATGACAGCTGCTTCAACTTGTGTAGGGATTAGCCAATAGAAATGCAGCTGCTGCTGGGGATGGATATCCGTCAGAGAAGAAGACTGCAAGGCTACCTATTTCCAGGATGTTTTTTGGTCCTCCAAAGAGAAGCAAATGCAAAAACAAGCAACTGGAAGATCACATGTTAGAACATAATTCATAGTTGTAAGCAGGAAAAAACGATAATAAATGACTAGCATATAGATGTAAAATTATTACTTGTAGTGTTCTAGTGTTTTTTTTTGTGTTTTTGTTTTTTTTTGTCATTACACTGTCACAAGTACAGAGCAATGAAATTAACTCTCTGCATTTAACCCCCATTCTGTTGGGGTGCAGTGGGCTGCCATTGTGCGGCGCCCAGGGAGCAGTGTGGGGTTAAGGGTCTTGCTTAGGGACCCAGAGTGGCAGTCCATGGGAGTGAGGCTCGAACTCAGAACCTCTGGATTATAAATATATATATATATATATATATATATATATATATATATATATATATATATATATATATATATATATATATATATATATATGAGACCCAATTTATCCACTGAGAGAATCATCTGCACCATGGGATCATGAGAGATTATATAGGGAGAGAAGTCTGGCAAGAGGTGGAGGAGAGACTAGCACATTCCAAACAGCCCTTCTCATAAAAAAATGCACAAAGAAATTTGGGCCCCCATATTTTTAAGGACTTTGCAGTGAAGGTAGAACACACATACTGACCATAATGAGACTTTGAAGTACACTTGCAAGTTTTCAAGAAAGTGCAGAAATAAAATGTGTCTCTTCTTTTTGCTCCATAGACAATAGAAGAAAGTGAATACGTTTTAAGACCTAAGAGCATTTAAGGTATCTCAATGGTGTTGGCCCAGACACTGCAAAGCCTTTATTGTTTCACAGATTCTTTGTGCCAAGCCACGGCAGAATAATGAACTCCTGGTCAGCATCCAGCTTCTCTAACTTTCGCAGTCCCTCAGTTGCTGTCATGCAACCCCTGTTCCCTGCCAGGTGAAACATGACAGGGCTGTGAATTCCCTAATTTCTTCACCTGCTGACCACCTGAGCCACAATTATTGCTTCCAGAGGAGCTTTGAAGAGAAATACAGCTGCGATTCATTTTGAAACCAAAGAGAGGAGAAAGAAAAGAAATTCAAGTTCTGGTCTTGGTTCATTAACAAAGACTCAATGCATATGTCAATATAATACTGAGAAAAACATCAACCGTCAGAACTGCATTCAGATCTGTTAATTACAGTAACCTGAAAACTTTAATCCAATCTCCTCAAAGTATATTACACAGTTATTATAGAAAAATATTTGGTTCTTTGACCTGATTGTACATTCACTGTAACACTTTTTTGTCTTTAATCGTTGTAATTTACAGCTGTATGAGTGAAAGTCAAATATTTTCCTTCATTACTTTAAATTCCACCTAAAGTAGTTTTTTGTTTTCTAGGTCGTCTCCAACAGGGCTGACATGGCCATCGGTTCCCTCACCATCAACGAAGAGAGGTCAGAGGTTGTAGAGTTCTCCGTTCCCTTCGTTGAGACCGGCATCAGTGTCATGGTGTCCCGCAGCAATGGCACAGTGTCTCCATCTGCTTTTCTTGGTAAAGATGTAAATGTACCTTTATGATACTGGATGGACCAACTTTTTGATTTTACTGGTGAGGCAGAAAAAGGAGAAATTTGTTCTGAGAGGTAATGGATTGAAGACCCAAAATGATGAAGGAATTCTTCACCAAGGAATTTAATGCCAAACTGGGGAAACCAAGTCTGCACATAATTCACCACAGTGGGCAAAAAACTCTTTTGTTTTGTTTTTTTGTTTCGTTTTTCCCAAAAGAGACCCTTGTTGTTAACCCTAGATATGATTGCATGGAAGGAAAATCAGCATATTGAATTACAATCTGTTACTTATTGGGCTCAGACACTCAGACAAAAAACAGCTGCAGCTAGTTACAATAATACTTGTTGTAAAACCTTGCTGTTGCTTTTAAACATAGTCAGTTGTTTTCTTTTATAACTTCTAAAACTGCTTTCGTGCATTTCCTTGACTGTGTGAATGTCGCAATAACTGTGCAGTACCCAGTCTGGGATTTAATGACCTTCTCTGGTTCATTGTCTTATAACCTCACTGCCGCCATATTATGAAACCAAGCCTGACATTCAAAAACTTTCATAGTATATATAATCTTCACCTGAGGCATGATTGTAAATTTTTATTAAGGTAAATGTGACCCAACACAGGTAATTCTTTTCTGGTATTGCAATTTTGTAGCTTTATTGGTGCCGAATGATTTTATTTTAGGGGATAAAACCTAAATCATGGTTTTGTTCCTGTCAGTGAGATAAATGCTAAATTTTTTAACCAGCCTTATATGTTATCTCTCTGAAGTTCTTTTAATTTAGACATTATCAAGAGTTGGGCTTCTCCAGTAACTGTATAAAGTGCTTTGCATTACAGTGTCCTCATTTTAGTTAAACTTGTTACTTGTGTAATTTAGCTTTATAACCAATTATTGCTTTCCCCACTTTGTCACAATAAGCATTTTTTTTTGCATTATTTCAACAAGAATTATTTAACTATCTCAGTACTATCCAATAAACCTTCCTTGAATCCACTCTGAGGAAGATACAAACACATTTGTGTTCTCAGCCAGAGTTTGGAGGTTTTGTCAAGAAAAGAAAAATAAAGCAGTTTGTGACTCAACAGGAATCTGTAGCTGTGATGCAGTCTTAGCTGCTGGAGAGGGCCTATATTGAGAATCTTTGAGTATTGACCTATTATTACTGCTGCCTGGAAAATATCTCTTCAAATCCACTCTAAAGCCAAAGTCGACTGCAGGGATTATTTATGTACACAGAAAAAAAAGCTAGAAGATGAGATATCAATATAGCTACTGCTCATCAGAGCCAAGAGGGGATGCTGGTTGATGAGGAGACAAATGCTGGCAAAAAGGAGAAGGATGTAGAATAAAAGCAGATGTTTACAGATGCAGAAAGAAACTGATGCAAACAAGGTCCAAATGTCCCAAAACCTGAATTAACCTGAAGTCTAAATAAATTCAGAACTAAACTGGAAACAAGGAGAGAGGATGACAGAGGTTAGAATTACTTCAGACAAACTAGAGGAGGATTGAACGGTATCAAGCAGACAAACCAACAGTGACTAAGGAATCCACAGGGGAATATATACTGAGGAAAATTTATGGGTGGGAAACGGAAAAGATGAGAATAATGATCAGAGCAGAAATACCTGAAAGTAAAATCAGAGTACAAAGATGGAAGAAATCTGAAAGAACAAATATGGAGCAGGATCTAAACACAGACTAATAAGCAGGAAGTTATAGGAAAAAAATAATCCTAACTTCAAGAAATACATTCACATAAAGTGGATAAGCAAAGTCTTCTACATGACCCAAATCTTTTTTTCTTTTTTTTCTCGATTCATGTCATTTCATTTATATTAATTTATTCTATTTGCATTTTAAGCCAGTTTCTCATCAAATGTTATTAAGTTGCCTAATATTGATAAAGATCCTTCATCTTATGTCGCTAAAATGTAATAATATTAGTAGTATTGTCTCTAATATACAATTATTATTTTGATTTTATAGGCTACGTAAAAAAATAACTCAATTCAGTAACAATGTATGTAAAAATTAGCTTATATATATATATATATATATATATAGTTATTTTAATAAATTTTCATAATCTGTTCAAGTCAAATGGAAACTAACCTTTGTTCAGGAAATTATTTTAATTTTTGTGGCACAGAGAAAGAAGTGAAAAAGAAATCTGCACAGATCAGCCCACCCTGCGCAGTCGGAGCTTTTATACACAGTTAGTGTGACATGGAAAAAAAATCGGATCAGAGATTGAAAAGGTGTGACCTGGCCTTAACCCTGGAGCTTTAAACCAGCCCCGTGCTGTTTCCCAAATTCCAGCAGCACATTCAAGCATTTCTAAAAGAGTATTTTGATGTACTATATAAAATGCAGCACTGAGATCTCACAGGACAAGTAAAGACACCAGTTATCTAAGGTCATGAAAATATTGTTATTGACTTTTGCCATTGCAGTTTTAGCACTATGATGAGCTCCAAAACCTGCCTGAAACTAATCAAAAAGAATTTTGAATAAGAAAGAAAGATCAGATATGGGTCTATAAGTCATTTAGACCAAGAGAGGGTTTCTTAATTATATGTTAGGGGTTAGGTTTCATTACAGCCTGCTCACACTCTGCAATACATATCCCTGCTTTACGGATAGATTAGGCATATCTAAAATGTAGGTGGAATTCAGAGGGAATAATTTAATAGTTTTGTTTGAACTGACTCTAACAAAAAAGTCGAAGTGGTTATTAAAGATTATAATTTTTATAACTCAGAAAGCTCAGCTGGGTCAAAACAGTCCAAACACAAGTTCTATATTTACCTCAGTTTCTAAGGAATAATTAATCATATTTTGAAGAGAGCCACCAAACTTCTTTTTAGGAAAATCATTCTTGTTTATAAAAAATCCCATAAACTCATTACTACTGAGAGCTGGGGGAGCAGACAACTCAACCGGGAGTCTGGCAAATGTATTTAAAAGAAATCTAGAATTATTCTTATTATTCTCTGAAGAGAAATATGTTGTTCATGTTCAGCAAATGGTCATTTTATAAAGCAATAACCGTTTTTTGCAGATTAAGAAGGATTCCTTTAGATAAGGAGAGTAAAATTTTGTCTCCGGTTGACTTATGCTTCACAGTAAATAGCAAATTAAAGCAGGGAGCTGGCTTTAAATTCCATTTTTCCTCAGGGACGCTACTACTCCAAGGCAGTATACATAGAGGAAGTAACCTCTCAACAAAATCATCTATTTGTGAAGGAGGAATACATTAAATGTTTGCCCTCTGAAGTATTGTTCTGTGATACATAGGAGAGACAAAGTGGAACGGATTCTTTAAAATTTATAACTGCATTATCTGACAATGATCTGCTAAAGTGAAACCCTCTTTGGAGGGAGGAGAACTCAATTAAATAACATTTCAAGGTTACTTAAAATGGTCAGATAGGGTAGGGTTGTAAGGAAATGATAACATATAAAGATAAGAGTGTGTAGGTCTATGCTAAATTTGAACAGAGCCAATCAAGTCTAAGATAGCATGACAAACTGCATTAAAGCTCTCACATTTAATGTAGTCATTAAAGTTAGAATCCCACGCTACGATGACCTTGTTGGTACTTAACATTTAATCAAGTGTGCAAACTGATCTAAAACTTCAGAGTAAATCTCCGGTGGACAATGCAACATAATATAGAGAAGTGGTTTTGTTGCTTAACAATTTGGAGGTGGGGGAAGTAAGGGTTAAATGTTTGAAAGAATTGTACAGTAATTATTCTTTGGCTTTGGAATATTTAACAAATTAGACTAATAGATCATTGCTACTGCTCCTTGGTAATAATTTATAAGCATGTGAAAATGAATTAACTTTGAAAATTTGACCCAATTTAAGCAAGTATAATCCTCTTGCTGCGGCCATGATTCTGTAACATAACATAAATTAGTTGATAAAAATTAACAACTAATAAACTCTTTAAGGAGAGAAATCTTCTATCCAGTCCATTTTCTCCCGCTTAGTCCATGTCAGGTTCTCGGTGGGGCGAGAAGCGGGGTACACGGGGTACACTCTGGAGAAAGCGCCAGTCTGTTGCAGGGAAACACAGAGACACGCAACCATGCACACACACACTTACACCTAAGGACAATTTAGAGAAGCTAAATAACAGTCATGTTTTTTGACTGGAAGGAAGCAGGAGTACCCACGGTTGCACAGAAGGAACATGCAAATTCAATGCAGAAAGACTCCAGACCACGAATTGAACCCAGAACCTTCTTGTTGCAAGGCAACAGTAGCAGCAGAAATATTATGCACAATAAATTAATGTTTTTATTTTTGTTAAATTTGAGTCGTCATAATTTTAATTAGATTATGATGACTTATTTCTTTAATATTATTTTCTAATTCATTTTATTTTGGCCATGAAAAGATAATGTCTGAATGGGGTCATGGGTGGGTGCAATAAAAAAATCTACTGAGAGGTTTAAAAACTATGACTGCTTCCTTATCTGCACCCTAGTTTGTCTGCATTTTGGAGGTCTAATACAGTGGGTACTTGTTGGAAATGGACACTTCACTCACGCTCCCCGTGTTTCACGAATTGCGTGAAAAACATGTGACTACTATAGCCACTAGGTGGCAGTCTGAGTCCATTTCGGCATCCCATTCAGCTAGATTCCTAGAAAGTAGTTTTGCACGATCAAAACGGGAATGGATGCCCCCAATTATCCGACCAGGTTTTCCTAAAAAGAGGCTGCCAATTATCAACATAGGCCACATAATTTTCAGGACATCACCTAGACTGCCAGTTGTTGAAAGGAACTACATGTCATCATTGGTCCAATTAGGAGGAGGCCAGGGAAGATTATGGAGTCTGATATTGTTTTGTTAAACTTACACACCAAAGAATCAATAGCTACTGTCCTGGGATCCAGGATATTCAGGAACTGATGGAGGATCACTTGTACACCACTTTGAATTGTGATGTTACAGAAAT